AATTTTGCTACTATTTTGACACTGTTAAGGATAATTTGCACCTACTTAGCTGATCTATATACCTACATAGACTAGCAATAACCTACTTTGATGACATTCTGATAGAACGCCACGGGTTACTGATTCAACATTATCAGTTACTGATGCTGTTAATCAGTTCTTTTTCTTAAGGATAGGTCGAGGGAGCGAGACGGACTCTTCTGCGAGAGAACAATGCACTGTACAAGAGTTTAGTATAAGAACGATCATTATAATTTTGTCGTATTAATCTTGACTGCCGATGTTATACGAGGCGCAGCTCGCTGTTACTATCCGAGTGTATATGTTTCAAAAATAAAGCAACGCGACCGGACGACTCGTCGTTTACAAGCAAAGAAACCAGAAATTAACTAACATTGAAATATGCTGCTGAACAATAATAAAGAAAAGGCACAGATTACGTTAAAATATGCTTAAGGGTAAATTAAACACACGCGAATAGATCTAAGAGTGTAAAATAACGAATTCCAAAATTATTGCCACGGAGCCTGCGGCAGAAGCTCGAAGTCATTAAAAAAATCTAGTCATTTTTACACTCGTCTCATTATTTTTTTTCTTTAACGTAAGACACTTGTAGCTCCATACCTCCTCGTTCCTCCCGTGATCTGCTAACATTGAAAGTTAAAAGAACTTGAATTCTGACCTCGCCTACTTTCTTGTGCACGATAGTTTGATACTCGCTCCGGCGAGATCCCCAAGCGTCATTTACACGATTATTCCGATCGAACGCAAATGTGTGACCGAATAAATAAACTCTTGAATCTCACACGATACTAGCCATTATCTGAGCGTACTCCTCCGCTTTACTCATTGTTAAATATTAATTATCCAGCGCTACATCGCAATATTGGCTTCAGCCGCGTTTTGCGCGCGCGGCGTCGAGATGCACGGAGAGCGCGGCATTATTCAAGCGCATTATTCAAGAAACTTTTATTAGGCCGACGGCCAAGGCCGAAAGCTCACCGCGGCTGCGCGCGCGGAGCCGTATCCGAGGAAGTCGACGAGAGGAAGGCGTGTATCGCGCGCGCACGAAAGGGCCGTCGTCTTCTTATAACCATAAATATCGCGCATAAGTGCATATAGCGCGATGCTCCATAAATCCGACGCCGCGCCGGCCGAAAAACGAGCCTGCGCGCTCAGCCACGCGGGGCGCCTGTAATTAAACGTCGCGCTCTGTCCCAATCCGCATTATCAGCGAGACTCACTCGTCCTTGGCTTTTCCAGCGGATCCGACGGGATCCGTGACCGCCGACTGCTCTGGGGGGGAAAAAAAAGATTAGTTAGCAACTCATTTTGGGACCCGCAATTACCCATACAGCACACCCAGTGAGAAATGATTCGCCGATCTACATCGACACCGTCGAATTGACGTCGATTCGACATCATTTCGACGTCGATCGACGAATCATTTCTCACTGGGCAGAAAGTTAAAATTCGTAAAAGATTGGAGTTACGAGCAATCCAAATAATTCGATCGCTTATTGCGGGCCCCAAAATGGGTTGCTGTCTTTTTTTACCTCCCGAGTGTGAACCGCGCGACTCGAGCCCGCGTCGGACTACGGGTTGAGATTGAGATCAGATCGAAATTTGACCAATCGGAGTAAAGTTCACTCCGGAGTAAACACAGATAGTACAAATCGGAGTAAACGCTGAGTCTGAAGTTGGGCGAATTTTACTCCGGATTGGTCCAATTTCAATCTAATCTCAATCTCAACCCGTAGTCCGATACGGGCCTAAGGCCGGTGTTGCATTCGTCGCACGACAAAATTTCCAAGCGTGTCGATTGGCCGCGGAATAGAAGAGTCCCCGAGTCTCTTTACTATTCTGCGGCCAGTCAACACGCTTGAAAAATTTGTCGTGCGACAAATGTAATGTCGGGCTAACACGCGAGGCCCGGAGGGATCTCGAGTGCTCTCGAGGCCGAGCGGGTTGGTTTCTGGCGTGTCGTCGACGTATCGGCTCGCAGGGCGATTCGTGGGCCCGTTTGACGCGGCGCGCGGGCCCTTCCTCGCATACATAATAAAATCTCCGGGACAACGGGGGGAGGGGGCGGCGGGGGCAGGGAGAATAGGAAGAAAGAAGGAGGGAAAGGGGGGCCCGCACGGGTGAACTCGCTGGCCGCGTGTCTACGCGCGCTCACGACGGGCTAACGATATTTATTATACGTCGGCGATGAATTATGGGCCGTTAAGTCCGCCGTCGTGACGGGACGGGACGGGATCGGGGCCCTTCGGCCTCCCGCGCGCGCGCGCGCGCGCGAGCGCGTAGCGAGCCGGCATCGCCACCGCGTCCGCCCGGAGGAAAAACCGCGCCGGGCGGACCTCGTCCGGCCGCTCCGCGCCGCCGCAAAATGAAATATTTATTCCGTTACGAGAGACGCGCACGCTGCCCGTATTGTAATGCGCTGAACCGCGCGCTGCGCTTTCGCGGGATATCGCGGACGCGTCCCGAAGGAAGCTGCGAGAGAGGCTCTCGCTGTTGTTCGAATCTCAAGTCCCTTTCAAACGCCTTCTCTGTCGTTTATGAGAAGTTAAATAATGTACGCAATGACGGGCGCGAAAGGGCTAAGGGCGTCGGCGTGCGCTCGAATGAATTTCGAGCAACGAAAGTGTGAAAATGAGAAAAAAGAATCTACAGATAGAGGAAAGTCCCCTATTACGAGATAGGCTCCTAATATGAGAGAGCGGGGTTTCTGTTCAATTAATAGACTTCATCTGTCGATTCCACCATGAATTTATTGCCCTTGGAGCGAAATCTGTTTAGTGAAAAATTCATTCTTAGATGGTGTAACCGTTGCGAAAAAAGATTTATCATTGAATCAGTGAATCTGGGTATTGAAAACCTGCTGTCTCATGTTAGAAACCTATCTCATAATAGAGGACTTTCCTCCAAGTCCCTTAGGAGAAGAGAAATGTCGCGTCGACGACGGCGCGCGTTGCTCGCGAGTAGAGATTAGTAAAACCTGACGAAACTTGAAGCGATTGCGTCTATTGTCATACGCGACCTCGCGAGAAGAAGTAATGGGTCTGTCTTTACAGCCACAACTGGCTGCACTAGTCGAGCTAAGATAGAACAGGCCGAAATATTTTGCGGTCGGATCGATTTTCCAATCGAGTCTCCGAACGGAGCTCGCCGATCGCACTCCGGCTTCCGCGACGGGGGAAAATCCTCGCGGTCCTTTCCGTCCTTTCCTCTGCCCGTGGGAAAGCGCGCGCGAACGACGGGGCCGTTTAACAGTCCCCTAGTTAACGGTAACACGTTGCGAGGAATCGCGAAAAATCGCGAGGCGCTTCGAGCCTTCGCGAGCGAGCGCGCGCGGTTGACGACGAGGAAACGGGACGCGCGTCGGTGTCCGCGGAGTCCCGTAGTCGATTTTCGTCGAAAACCGGCTCCGCGAGCCGCTCCTCGGCCTCCTCGGCCGCCTCTCGCGCGCCGAGGTTACGCCCGTCGAAAACGCGCGTTTACTGTTACGACAGATCCGCGGAAAATATCAGCGATGGCTGACGCTTCCCGAATACCTGCCTCGCGAGCGTAAATTCACTTCCGAAATTAATGACGACCCGGTCGCGAGTCTCCGCGCGGCTCGCGATTTTTGCACGGCGTCGGACTCGTCTCGGGGACTAATCGGCGAGATGAGTTAACTAAAAGTAAAATGTTAATCCAAATGAATCAGTCACGACTAGCGGTCGAGCGAAATTTTTGTCCCTTCGGCCCCTAGCGACAAAAATGTCTATTCAATTGATGAGTTTTATACAGCCATTTCTTTGCTTAATTTTCTTCTTTAATTAACTTCTCGCGGTCGTGCATTTCGATACGATCGACGCTCGCATATAGTTCGAACCGTACGAAATATCTGTCGGTGACGATAATAAACCGACTATGGAAGGAGTTTTCTTCCTTCCTGATCTCTGGTCAAACTGACCAAACTGTATGGCCAGGAGCGACGAATGGTAGGTCCAATCTGGCCCGACGAAGGACTACGATGGGGTAAGTGGTCAAGATAAGGTGCTTTACGAAATAAGTTGATTTCTTCTTATTTGCCAAAATTCGGGTGGGTTATATCCTTACCTTCTTTACATATTCTCGCGTATGTGCAAGATTAAAGAGACCCCTATTAAATCCCTATTAAATCGCGCGCGTATAACTCGAAATCGAACCTCTTATACTTAAATCGTGTCGCGGTTTTAACGAAGGACTTGTAGGTTCATTAACAAAAAGTTCAAACGCGGGTAGATAGGAAAATGGATAGGACTATACAGCGGAAGACGGGTAGGTAGGTAGGGACTCGGATAGGCAGAGACAGGGGGACGTAACTCGATAATGCTGGTCTTTCCTTGTCTTACACCATCGTAAAATAAAAGAATCGTGCTTGCGCAGTACTAGTTGCTACACAGGTGTGATTCTCCCTTGTCACGACAGTGAGACAGAGAATGAAAGTCTTCTTAAATCTTCTCTGTCTCTCACTCTTCGCAAGCTTCACAGCCTATTCAATGCGCTCAGGCCGGTAGTTCGTCCGTTCTTATATTTAAGATCATCTTAAGTACACTCTTAATGTGTTTTCAACCAATCGCAGAGCCGTATTAGCGTCTTAAGACAACACTTAGGATGATTTTGAAATAAGAATCGACTACGAATACCGGCCTCAGTCTACATTTACTGTGTCTACGGGTATTCCTGAAAATCCTGCGCGAGGATCGATTGACGCTTTCTGCCGAAATCAATTAGAGCTGACATTCGTTCTCGCGCCGCCTGATTCACCTGTGTAATCAGCCAAACGCTCGAGCGGCTATGAAAATCCATGATCTCGCGTTACGTGCACGTAAAGTATAAACACACAATTCCCGCCGCTAATACGCGAGCGACACGCACCAGTTGGACGACATTCCGGGTCTATTAATCTATGACGCAACGCGATTAGCTCTCGGCGACGGAAGGCAAACAAAAACGAGTCCCCGTCGAATGGAAATATCGAGACTTACACGGGAAGAATTCAGTCGACATCATGGAGAGCTTGAGCGAAGGTGACAGGGCGGTCCTGAAGACGATCTTCGACCCGCTTCAGCCGCTCGGCCCGTCCGATTTTCCAGGCTTCCCGGTTCCCCAGGAAGTTGGTACGTGATAGCGTAATACAGCAGTAATTAAAATCTGTTTAAAATAACGATCGAACGTATTAAAAGAGATAATGTTGAAAATAATCTTCCCCTTAAGTGTGACTAATAATAAATTCAATATAATTTATTCGTACATGTATAATTAATAAAAAAAACGTATCAGCATTTCTCTAAACTCTTAAGGCTGGTTTATGTAAGACCATGACTGTTAAATTATACCGGAATATCGGTAAAAATTGTCCAATCGCCGTTAAAAGTGAAGAGAATAGTTGACCGTACTTGATTAATTTTTACCGATTCCGGCATAAGTTAACGGTTACGGCCTTGCATAAACCAGCCTTTAAATGTAACGACTTAAAGCTGAGGACAATAATGGGTGGTGATTCTTTGCGATTCCGCGCGCAACTCCGCGCGGCGCGCGATTTAAAACCGAGATTGCCATTCAATCTTAATGACGGTGCAGCCGGGACACTTGTTGGACACGATTCAAACCGCAGGCTCCGCGGGTCGCTCGCAAAAATCCGTGGGCGCTTAAAGCACGCACGGGTTAACCGCATTCGCCTGGCGATAAATATATTCTGGCGCGAGTCGTGAGACATTCAGATCGTCATGAATATGCGAGCAACCGCGCGATGCAATAACAGAAATAAAGTTTCTCGTTGTCGTATCAATCCTCAAGGTTACGCTCCCGCCGAGTAAAATATGAAAAACTTTACGTTGCCGTTGAATTTCTTGCAAGTTCTGCGCCATCCAAATTAATTAAACATGGACGCATACGCAGTTAATTGCAAAGTGCCCGTAAAGAATTGATGTGAAGGTATAAGATCCGATTAATTTCACGAGATATGTATAAATTTTAGACTGGGTTGCACTGTAAAAAAAGTTATGTGTAAAATTACAATTGTTATAGTGGGTAATATTGGGACCATCTATTAAAGGTGTATATTTATATACGTCAGTAAATTTACACCTTGTAGGTAAAATTATTACCTTATATAATAAGTAAACTGCTTGCCTTCAATTATGTAAACTTTACAATTTTTCATAATTTTTCATCATGTATAAACAAGTAGTAACAACGAAGAGTAAAAAGAATTTTTTTTTGTAAAAGTGCATAAATTTATGTATTTCCGTTATTAATAGTGTAATCGCTACACTTATTATGTATGTAATTTTACATACTTTTTTACAGTGTGCAATATGTATTTATTCGGCGTTTCCGCCAATAATGTTATGGACAGTGACTGTCCAATCATTTTAAACTTGTATCGTTCCGAATCACGCCTCGATGCGCCTTTCGAGAAGAATTTGATCAAATTTGACATTGTGCTCGTTGTACGTAATTTTGAAGATGGGAAATAAGGCGCATTACGGCGCATCCGACACCTTTCTATTACCGCAAAAGCAAGAACGCAGCGCAAACGTAAGAAAAAAAGAAAAGAAAACCGCAAACGTAAAAAGATGCTAACCGCATATCCATTTACTGCTAAAGTGCAACGAAAGCGATCCATTTTTAAACGAATGGTAGACGATGAAAAATGGATCGTTTGCAACAACATCGGGAGGAAAAGATTCTGAGATAAGCGATCCGCATTAGTCACTCCAAAGATCACGCTGTGTGTCTGAAGGTCTGTCTGAAAAGTAGATATCATTTAGTAGAAAATTTGTGATATTATGAGCGCCTGACGTCGAATCAAATTCGAATAACTGTGAATTAGACACTACTATAGGCACACTGAGATAAATGTCCGATTAAATATAATCGGATAAAAAGTTTTCTCAGTGCAGTGATCGACGAGGACCGATCAAAATTAGTCAATAGAAGGGCGTCGTGTGTTCCGGCAAGGACAATGCCAGACCGCATGTTACTCTGGAAAAAATGGTTGCAGCTTGACCGAGATGTTCTATCTCAATCGTTATATTCACCTGACCTTGCACCTTCAGGTTACCATTCACTCGGATCTGTATAGAATCCCTTTAACGACAAGAACTCTTCAGAAAACTGTAGAATCTGTCGTGAACATTTTCTCAATAAAAAAATTTAGAAAATTTAGGAAGCTGGTATCATAAAGTTATATGTACAAGAGATAGTCACGGACCATAAAAAAATGGGCAATACCTGAGTAGAGATTCATTTCCATTTTACAATTTGGAATTATGCTTGAAAAACCGAATAGATACACGTTACGAGCCAATGTTTCGTACTTTGTGTCAAGCTAAAGTATTTTGTGATTTTCTTAATTTAAACTTTCAATTTTAATAACTACGTACTTTACCATTTTTATATGCAGGATCTTTTATAAGAAAAATTACGTGATTTCCTTTGAAAAAATATCGATAACATGTTTCACAAAAACACGGGATACAACAAGCACTTCTATTTTTATTCTGAAAATGAAAAATATAAAATTTTTATTTCAAGTATTTCCTCTAGAATGAGAAACAATTGAAATATTTAAGCAGAATTATAAAACGGGGAACTCCCTGTACGTAAAAGTTGTGTGCGTAATAAATATATATATATAAAATATTTTATTAAGAGGGGGATGCTTCCGAGGAGAATCAGTTAGAACCGGATGTACTAGACATCGTGAAAAGGGCAATAGTCTGCGCGGAAGAGAAGAACTTTGACGAATCTTTCCGGCTTTTTCACGAGGCGTTGAAACAGGCGCCTGAATCGCCGTCGATCCTAAACGACAGAGCCCAAGCGTTACGTCTGGCGAATCGAGTCGAAGGTATATTTAGTTACGTTTATATCGAAAAAGAGAGCTCTTGTAGAAATTTCACAAGAGGGAATCGTATTTCGATGATATGCAAATTGTTATTCAGAAGCGTTGAAGGATCTGCATCTGGCGGTGGAATTGAGCGAGGGAAAGGGAAAGGCCGGCACGCAGGCACTTTGTCAGCGCGGCGCCCTTTACCGTTGGATGGGGCAGGACGACAAGGCCAGGGAAGACTTCACCCGTGCGGCCAAGGCTGGCTCGAGCTTCGCTAAATCGCAACTGGTCGCTCTGAATCCGTACGCGGCTATGTGCAACGCAATGCTGCGCAAGATGACAATTGAAGGCCAATCGACCTTAATCTAACGCGGTTAATTGCAGGTCGAAACAGTGGCCACTTAAAATAGATATATAACGCTTTATTTTATCTTTATTTCCATATAGATAAATCCACGTGCGGATCCACAAGATCTACAGATCCTGATATAATGACAGTTGTAAAAGTAATATAATAATAATAGTAATAATAACAATGATCATTGGAAATTTCGCATAAAAATATAAATTATCTGCATTAAACCCGGAATATATGTATATTCATTTGTAAAATTGGGCCTAATTTCTGCTAAAAAGGAACTCGCGCTAAATCGCCGAACAACGAAGAAAACGTCAAGTTCTGTACCCGTAAAGATTCCTTCTCTTCCAGCTAAATCAGTCCTGCCTAGATTCGAAGATTTACATCTAACGGAGACAACTCGGTGCGTATTAATTAACTACATTGTCGGTAGACATTGATCGCATTCAGAGAGATTGAAGACTTCGAACAGTACCCACAATTTATTCAACGGAAACTGATAACGAAATTACGTCTAATACGATTTCCTCATATTACACATATATGTTTGTATAGATATCTATATATGAATAAAATATGCCTCGTATCACGCTTACGCTCCTCGGAGACAAATACTTAACATTCACGCCAGTTACGGGAAAAATCTCTCCATGCAAAAGTCACAAGCGATTTTGCCCACTCGTTCATGAACGAACCTTTAAATGCAATAAATGTGGAGAATCTGCTACGGTCGGCTTGTTAGACTCGCGCGTCAAATACGACGCGCGGAGTAACGCGCCGCAAGCATATATCGGTTTCAGTGATGATTAATGCGATACAATTAATACAGCTGTTTGTCCCAGCAAACATGAAGCTATCTACTGTCCGGCTCTCGCGTTCTAAACCATAACAAAATCTCGACTCGTATTGGATTTCTCACTCTCCGAGCCTTCCTCACTTCCGTCCTCGCCTTCCGCCGAATCGGACGAAGTTTTCCTCTCATCGCTAGGCAAAGATAACTCCTCGTTAGTCGTTTCCGTCGCTACAGGTTTCTCTTCTCTGAGGATACAAAAGATAGAATCAGAGATACACGTTTCATGAAATACCTAAGTACTAATCGCAAAACTTACTGAACTAATGGCGCATCCTCGGAATCAGAATCCTTCTCTTTTCTCCTTTTCTTTTTGCTGGCTTTCTTGTCGCCGTCCGACGCGGGGCCATAATATTCATACTGCAAGGACATTTTTGCACTTAGTCGTCCGCCACCACGACCGATGAGCAAGTGCAGATGAGTGGAGTAAAGAAAAGAGCTACTAACTTGATACAACGGCCAGAAGGACGCGAAGAAGCCAACATCTGCTGTAAGATTAGGTAGCAGCCACAGATGACATCTACCCAACGTGGGCACCCACAGAAGACAGAATACGATCATTCTAATAATAGCCAGCGCTAATATGAATACGAGAAATCCCGCAGCTGCGACGCTTAGATAGTAAACTCCATGACGAATGGTTAAGGGCCACAGTGGGAAGAGACAGACTCCTATCGCACCTAAGACTACGAGCGTGCCGAAGAACCAGTAATACACAGGGATCGGCTCGTATATCCACACATACGCGTCGTTACAATCGACAAAGTACTGTTCCATGTGCATTTCTAGTCTCACCTGGAAGCACACGTCGATTTCTCATTTGGAAAGGGGGACGAAGGGGGAGAATCTTAGCGGCACGAACGAAAGTACCTTTACACTTACTTTTGGCTTCTTCTTATGATCCTTCCGTTCGTCGCTTTTCTCTTCGCCCTTCTCGTCCTTCACCACCGCCACGTCTTTGGTCTCCCTGGTGTCTTCCTTATCCGTGGCTTTCCTGTCCTCCTTCGGGTCCTTTGTCTTCTTCTTGATGCCCCGCATTTTGTTAAGTTCCTCCTCCGAGATCACCACCTTCTTGGCCCTGTGAAAGAACTTGTGCCTGAGCATCAGGTCCAAGAACTGGGAGACCTGCTCGCGGTTCTCGAACACCGTGCTCCAGGGCGAATTTTCCAGTAGGGCGTCAATCGCCCGCGACCCGGTGAAGTACTCGACATTGTGGGTCCTATCGAACTTGGTCTTCTTCGACGGCACATTATTGCGGATCCACTTGGCTACCGCGTACTCCTCCTTGGACGGCTTGTCCTGAGCGACCTTAGTATCCAAACTGGCTACTTCCTGTTGAAAAAAAAAACAAAAACAACAATGGTGTCTATCAGACGGTTTCCTCGGAGGGAGATCCGAGCGAGGGGAAGGACGCGAGGAGGCGCGCGAGCCGCGATCCTCCCGGAACGGGGAGATTTATCTACGTCACACTCGTCGGCACGAAGCACCGTCGGCGCTGACGAGTTGGACCGTGCGCGCGGGCGGCCCGCGGACTCGCGCCGCGCGGCGCCGAGCGGGCCGCGCGGCGTGTCGCTGCCCGCCGTGCCCCACGTCCCGATTCTCGCGCGGCTCACGGCCCATATGCGACGCTTACATCTTTGCGCTTCCTGTTTTTCCTGCGCTCCGCCATGCTGTAAATCCGGTGTCACGCTTGCGCGCACAGATCCGCTGCTCACGCTGCCGGCCGCCGGAGCCGCTGCGAACTGGCATATGCGAGCACTGCGGACGCGTATCCTAAGCAAGCACCGTGGTGGCACGCGGAAACGATCCCCTCGGCGCCGTCCGCGTTCGCTACTTCGTCACCTTCTCCTCCTCCTCCTCCTCTTCCTCCGGCTGCTGCTGCCGCTGCTGCCGCCGCCGCTGCTGCCCTTCCTGCACCTTTTCTTTCTACCGTCACCTCCTGACGAGACACTCCGCTCCTCTCGGGGAGCCTCGGGACACGGACGGGACACCACCTGGTGTTGACAGGTCTATTGCGATTCACAAACTGGGAATAGTGGGAATAGTAGTAGCGCCGGTCGAGAGGCCGTCCGTGGCGCATCCGGGAAGCTTCTAGAAAGGTCGTGGAACCGATGACGTGATCAGTAATAGAACTTGAATGGACCATCGGGGAGGATAACCAAGGAACAATGACATTGTCGACCGTTTTCGGTCGCCCCGATCGAACAGATTGTCACCTAATCGAGCTGACCGTTTTATCGCCTACTTACCACAATTGTCTTATCGCCGTCGTAGCCGTGACTTGTAGGCACAGTCAGATCTTGTTTTCAAGACCGTCCTCCGCAGCCAATGAAATGTTTCGTGCAGTATTTTTAGATAAATTCTAGACGGTCTTGAGTATGTAAGATCCGACTGCATATGAATAGCACTCGTAGATCTATATGGCTCGAATAAATATAGCGAAAGGTCGTTGTGACGTGCATACGTTACTGTAGAGAGATAACACGTTCGGATTTGGATTTGAAAAGGTGGAAGGTGTAAAAAGATTAATATTAGAATATCGGATGCGTTAATTTAATGTTTAATTTGCACAGTTGTAACATAATCCTCTTAATACAGAAACGATTTTCTCCTCGCGCGTTTCTTTTCTGCGCTAGTTAACGGAGACTGTGCAATAGAACGCATAGACCGTACGCGAGTCGCTCTTCACAGCTGAAACTCGTCTATTTCATCTTTCATCTTTTTCTGCTCGACGTCGTTACAAAGAAGAATAAAGAACACGATCTTTTTTCTTAATTGTGTCGATCCAGATTCCAAGCGAATGGAATTTTCCCACTCATGCGCAGTAGCGCGATGTAATAACACAGAGATAAGAGTGGACTCGGCCGCGTTCTGTCCACTGGCGCTTCTACGTGCACAAAACGCGGCTGTTGAAACGTAAAGGCCTTCACACATAAAATTCCGTAAGGACGTAAAACGTAAGCATAAGAAAATCGACCAATCACAGTCGAGAACGTAAGGCAATGACGCAAGCAGTAGCAAATCCAACCTGTTGATTTTTTTACGCTTACGTTTTACGTCCTTAAGGCCTTCACACATAAAATTCCGTAAGGACGTAAAACGTAAGCGTAAGAAAATCAACAGGTTGGATTTGCTACTGCTTGCGTCATTGCCTTACGTTCTCGACTGGGATTGGTCGATTTTCTTATGCTTACGTTTTACGTCCTTACGGAATTTTATGTGTGAAGGCCTTTACGGAATTTTATGTGTGAAGGCCTTAACCCGGCGAGAAATGACTTGTCGATCGACGTCGAAACGAGGTCGAATCGACGTCAATATGACTACGTTTCCACCGAGGGTCAGAGTCGGGCTAGAGTCGGGTCAGAATCGGGTTGGGGTTTGGTGTTTCCACCGCAAAAACGCTCACCCCAACCCGATTCTGACCCGACTCCAGCCCGACTCTGACCCTCGGTGGAAACGTAGTCTATTATGACGGTTTCGATGTCGTTACGATATCGTTTCGACGTCGATCGACGAGTCATTTCTGACTGGGAAGGTTTGAACTAGGGCTCGCTATTATACGTTTAAACGGAAACACGTTTATACGTATAATTAGCTATCCGTTTATTAGAAACGTTTTTCCGAATACACGTGTTCTTACTTAACAAACGTTTAAACGTTTAACCGTTTACTAGGCTCTAATATACGTGTAAACGTTTAAATGTTTGTTAAACGTTTTTCTACAAATAAACGTGTTTCTGGAAGAAAATGTAAACGGATAAACGTTTCACGCTTAAACGTTTATTCGAAAAACGGAATAAAATCCGAGCCCTAGTTTGAACACATCAGCCGTACGTTTAGTAACCTTCAACGCCTGTAGAGAGCGCCGCGTCGCGTGGCTCCCCCTCCCGTTCGAGTTCGCGTCTACGTCGCGCGCGGCGTCGAGGGCGATCACGCTTTTGTTTGTCAGTGCTGTTCACTAGTGTTCACCGCTGGTGCGTTTCGAGCGTGCGTCGCGTTGCGTGGCCGTCGTGCGTGCTGGTAAACAAAGGCCCGCGTATCCTCGGCGTGCGCCACGGTGTTTTATGTACGGCGCGAACATGCGCGAGCGCGACGAGTTCTCGAGGTGTTTCCTACCGGGCCAGCCGACCCAGGTCCCGTTGCCGCCGCCGCCACCGCCGCAGCCGCCGCCACGGGCCCCGGGCTTGGACGCCCTGCACAGCCTCTGCAAGCAGATCTACCCGGACCAGAGCAATCCGCTGACAGTCACGGCGGTGATAAAATACTGGTGAGAACCCGATTGCTCCTCGCCGAGGAACGTCCGGGTGACCGTTTGCCCTACGGAGGGGTCACAGGTGGCTCGGTCCCGCTCGACCGAGTCGATAATATTGCGTGTACGTCTCTCTCTCTCTCTCCCTCTCGAGGCTCTAGCTTCAACGTTGTTTTGCTCGTTGTAGCTTATTGGTCTTGTTTTATTATCCGATTCTCTCTTGTTGTCTGACTGTTGCGCGGAACGCTCGCGGATTCCCTAGGAATCGTCGGTAGCGATTTTTCTTATCGGACCAACCCCGGAGCCGTGAAACCGTTGCGCGAGACACGTTTCGCCGGGGCGTCGGCGGGAACTCGGGTTTTCCCGCTCCTCCCTCGCGAGAAAAGGCGATTACGACGGCTATATTTAGCCTCCCCCTTTTACTCGCGCGATACCGGATATCCTGTCAGCTGACTTGAGTTTTTCCTTTAGGTTAGGAGGACCCGACCCCCTCGACTACATCAGCATGTACGCCAATTCGGGATATCCAGAGCTCGGAGTGCCTCCGCACTGGCACTACATCAGGTAACCAATGTTCACGCTATTGTCAAGCGGAGACTCCACTCGGGGGGGCGAGTGTAAGACTCGTGAATCTGAAGAGCGCTTTGTCGCTCCAATTTTATTTCAAACCTCGGGAAACGAGCAGCCAAATTACCAGGGGATGTCTACGTATTTTCCATTTCCCCGCGTGTAAATTTAAATAGCCGGACATCGCCTTTTACCGAGCGCTCTGGAACGGTGTTGCCGCAAGCGCTGAAGCTAAAATATGTATATCGACTACAACGAAACTCGGTTGCAAATCTAGTAAACGTATTGATGCAGGATGAAGGAAATTGCAGATAAGAAAGAGAGAAGGAACGGAAGTAAGAAAAACCGAAGGACATTAGCTGCTTTCCTTTTACACTCGAGTGATACTGAGTCACTCAGTTATGTGAGTATTAGTTGCTTTCCTTTTACATGAAAGCTCAGATAAATCTCACTTGTGACGTCATAACTCAGTTGAATGCATGTTCCTTTTGTTTCCTGAGAAGTGAGATTCAACCAGATTTAACTGAGTTTTTGCGCACGATCAAGATCGTGTGCTTTAGTCAGTTTAATAGACTCACATTAATGACGTCATATCTGAGTATAAAATACTCACATAACTGAGTGACTCAGTATCACTTGAGTGTAAAAGGAAAGCAGCTATTTTATACTCAGAAACTCAGTAAAATCTGGTTGAATCTCACGTCTCAAGAATCAAAAGGAACATGCATTCGACTGAGTTATGACGTCACAAGTGAGATTTATCTGAGCTTTCATGTAAATGGAAAGCAACTATCTACGCATGACAGAACTGACGGGCGCGTAGTACGCGAATGTATGTGCGCGCGTGAGTTCGAAAGAGCACGCGCGTGTGTGCGCGCCTAAGCGTGCAAGTACGAGGCAGATGAATTTAAATGCGTTACTTGAGACGTGCCTGTATTAAATATGGGGTATAGTTTAGGGCCCGCACGTTCGTTAAGCACTAGTGGGATACGAAATGCGGCAGATGCGCGATATGTTAGCGCTACCGTTTCATTACGGTGCCCCCCATTGGAATCTGTGTGCGGAATGACGAATGATCTTCCGCCAAAGGGTGCGGACTCTTTTCCCTTTTTTTTTCTCTCTTCGCGCCGGCGAGACCCCTGCTTCTTCAGTTTCGGAGAGACAGCTGTCCCAATACTATCCCCACGCTTCTCTATATATAGAGAGCGCGTAGGATGCAGGAGGAACAAAGTCATTTAAAGCGCGGGGAGTCGGAAATAGAAGCGCCGGACTTCCCCTTTTTCGTCTGCGCCGGCTAATTATACACTTCGTCATTGACGGAAAGTCTACGTACTTCTTTTACGGGACATCGCTAAGACGCCTCTTTTGCATACGGTGTCTTTATAACGTTTCTCCCTTAAGTTTGCTACTTAATTTAACGCGACTTTTAGTCCTGCCTATTGTAGAAATTACAAATATTGTTAAAGAGAAGAGTACAAGACAAATGCGATATAGAGATATTTATTCTACGAAAGGCGAGTTTGCTTATTGTCGCCAGTAATGAAAAATTGAGACGGGAAACTTGTAGTCAACCCAACTGGCTAATTATTTAATCAGATTTTTGCACAACGTTTTGACCTTATTCTTTTGGGTCCTTTTCGAGTGATACTAAGTCAGTTATCGTCGTCGAATACGACGGAGTCGAGTTATAAAATATATGTATAAGTAGCTGGGCTCGAACTTCGTCATTGACGGAAAGTCTACGTACCTCTTTTACGGGACATCGCTGAGATGTCTCCTTTGCACACGATATCTTTATAACGTTTTTCCCTTAAGTTGGCTACTTAACTTAACGCGATTTTTATTGCCTGCCTAATACCGTTGCAAAAAGTAACGAGAAAAATGCAGCGCAGAGATTGTTCTATGCCAGCACTTTGTAATGCGTTTGTTTAAATGCAGTTTGGGATTATCCGATTTACACGGCGACGGCAGATTACACCCAAAACCTGGCCCAGGCCGTCCCAGCGGATTCGGGTTCGAGCTGACCTTCCGTCTCGCTCGTGAAAGGGGCGAGACGACGCCGCCCACGTGGCCGGCAAACGTGATGCAGCAATTGGCCAAATATGTTTTCAATTCCGGGAACACGCTGATGCCGGGCGACCACGTCTCTTGGCACGCTCCGTTGGACGGTGGGAGCGGTTGTATCACTCAGATTTTAATGGGACAGGACCCGCAGCTTCCGACGTCAATCTCGACGCCCCACGGCGACGTACGTGCAAAAAGCCCGTATTCATGACGTATGACGGTTCATTTTCAGATTCCTTAAGATTTTTACATCAAGTAAATAAAATTTGTAACTCGGCGACTGCATTTAGCTTTAAATCGTGCTTGAAATATCGAAGATGGATCGTTGTTACGGTTCCTTATTGAAAACAGGTCTCGTTCGTTCAAATCGTCGGCGTTACTTCTGAGGAGCTGCAAGCTGCTCAACACTGGAACGGCCTGGGTGTGGTTAATTTGCTGAGAAGCGCTAGGGGCTGCGGCCCCTGGTTGGTTACGGACATGAGAAGAATGCATTCCGCTATGGAGGACGATCCCTCTATAGCGGAGAAGATACAGTGCGGCATCGAAAGGGACGGGTCGAACACGAGTGGCGTGTCCGCCAAATGTTGGTAAGTGATGACAACACTGATGGATAGAATTGGCAGACGGAGGGTGGGTTTGTCAATTGAATTTGAGTTTAAAACTGTTGCCTTATCTATTTGGGCGCAGGTGGGTGCAAATAACAAACGACAGGAGCGCTGAAAGATACAGGGAGAAAAGGGACGATTCTGACGATGACGAGGACGTGAAGCCGATCGTGAAAACGGAGAGATTGTCACCGTGCGAGCAACAGGATGCCAACGTCTCTGACGAAAATAGTATTAGAGTTCTGTCCGGATTACACCTGACGTTTAACCTTGAGGCCGGCTCGTTATTGCCGTTGGCGATAAAGTTAGTCACGATGGAAGCAAAGTTCACGCGGCAACGCCGCGGCGACGACGCCCAATGAATAATGCAATATTGTTGTTTTAGGGGCCGTGTGATGCACGGAAGGCATTTCACGTTCAAATCCATATTGTCCCATTCAGCCGTTACGATAGTAGCGCCGTCGGTTACGGGCACTTTCGTGTCCAAAGAGAAGCCATATGTTGTCCAAGGACCGTGGCTGCAGGTGCTCCTCTCGGAAGAGTTGTCCGAGAAGATGGCCGAAGAGTTTCAAGTTTTGAACGCACCAGAGAAGGTAGCATCACGCGAGATTAGTAAAACGATGGCGTAGCATATTACGTTACGTCCAGTTATTTCAGAGCATTGATTTAAAAAGACTCAATTCTATTAATATTACTACTAATATTAATACTATTCTAGGACTGCTGAATATTTTATGTATATGTTTAATTATATCTTGTTAAAGATCCAATTGCCAAAGACGTTTTCTTGGCCGGAACACAATTTAGCCATCACCGTCATCAATGATTAAAACTGTCCAACGATGCAATCCACGGAGAACATTCTTCATGCTGTTTCATATATTTAAGTTAAAGATAGGACAATGAAAGTATTATCGAGCCTCGTTACAGATCGAATCCTTTTATTTATAACAACGACTTTTCCCATGACTCTCTAGCGGTAAGATTTTATAATTTATAAATGTTATTCCATGTGTGTAAGACATTTGAATAGTTTCATCAATGTGCGAAAGCAGAGATTTGCCAGACAAGTTCCCAGATTTTGAAAGAAAAGTAGTGTATTTTTCTATCTACGACCGTTCCGATGTCTCTCTTTTACAAATTGATGCCTACTATACATGAAAAATTTCTACAATACTTTTTTAAATTGACAATAATGTTATCAGTGCAAATTTGATATGTAAAAATATTGCAAATTCTTTATGTATATAGTACGACATAAATTATATGCTATTTTACGACGAAATTTGATATAATACGCCTTAAATTGTTATATATATATATATAATAAACGTTTATGTAAATACCCTAAAGAGATGGTCGTACTTTACAAAGGGAAATCTTGCATAGCATCAGTTATTTCTTTGTGATCGATATTGTCTATTATTTCGTTGCTTTCGTCTTCTGCCCGTCTTTCTCTTAGGAGGACACGCATCCTGGCTGTGGCTCCTCGCCGTCGAATCTTTGTTATTGTTGCTCTGCGTCACCCGTTGCCCAAACATGTTGAGTAGCTTCGCGTGGGGATTCTAAAGTATCGACATGACATTGAATTCAATCGCACGTGTCAACGCATCGAATGCGAACTGTCGTTATTTTGTCATATAAGAGTGAAAAAATGTGGTCCAAATCTCGACGTTTGAAACCGCGGAGGGACTGCCACTTTTCACGTACGACGATCGCAACGAATCTACCTTTCCTGCACTTCGACGACTGTCAAATAGTCTCGCCGCCGGGTGAGTTTTGCATTAACGCATAACATAAACAATTAAAGGAGCCGTTAAACGTCCGCGTTAAAGGAACGTTTAACGCGACGTTCTGTCGGATCAAAAACCAGATAATGCATCATGCATCGCGCGCGCGGATCTCAAAATCGCGAACGATATCAGTCACAAGAGTTAGTCTACGAAATAGTTTACCTGGTTTTTGCACCGTAGCCTTCCAAGTAATACGGCAGCGATATACTCCTTGCGAGACGCGCGCACAAACGATTTAAAGTATCCGCACTTCGCCAGTTCTAAAAAGCAGGGTACCACATTTGCAGGCGGTCGCATAATAGTGAGCGTAATGGGAAATATCGGTCAGAACGGGACATATTCGCGATATTCCATGTTACGAAAAAACTTTAAAGATCTCTCTAAAAGTCAGTCGGTGGATTATCATTGAGAACAGTGACTATTCATGGTCTTGCGTGATAATCCACTGATTGACTTTTAAGAAAGATAACTTATTTACTGACCCCGATAAAAAAATTAATTGAGGTATGGAATTATTCTCTGAATAACTCGAGGTTTTAAAATCTAAATACTTGAGATACAAATGTAACAATTTTTTAATATGCTTTGCGTAGAATTCAAGGCTGACAAAGCGCGGTTGTTTGCCGATTCGCGAGCGAATCTTAATCCTTCGGATTATCGAATTGTTATCCGCAGAGAGGATAAGTCCGCACAATCCTTTGGGCTTGACGAACCCACGGACTATAGTTTTAACTCGCTCACACACAGAGACATACTACACATTCGCGTACACTGATGGAAAAGGGGAATTAAGTGTAAAGTCTAGATGTGCTCTGAGGTGGAAACACTCCAAATAAAAAAAGGGGTGCAAATTGCTATCCATTGCTGACAGTAACGATTGTCGCGAGACACTCTGTATATGTACCCTCTTGAGAAGATCCATGAACATCTTAAGGACTCCGCCGCACAAAGCAACGACAATGCAGGCGGAGGCAAAGTCCTCAACTTGGTCGCAACTGATACTGCCAATTACGTTGACGGCCCCTCGAAAAACATTGGCGAATGTCTGCATCGCGTCGATGCATAAATCCCTGATGAAGCAGATCACCTGAAAGTCCAGTCACTTCCTGTAATACTCGCTCGCGTATGTGCGTGAAACTTTCCTTCGTTTTCCTCCCAGAAGGAAATACAATTCCTCATACATATAAATGTGTATGCTATTCTTCTCATTGCATATTTCTAATCACTTGAAGCGAGTCAGAAAATACATTTTTAATCTCAATTTCAACATCCATTCGATTTTCTCAAAACAGTTCAAACGGTATCTACAATTTTAGTTAAGAAAACACAATTCTTCTTTTCTCTTTAATTGCCGTGTTGAATCTACAACGTATTCGCAATAAATTTTAAAGGCAATTCTTACATGTGCCGATCATCACCTGAAACGTTAGCTTCATCAACACGAGTATTAGTTCAATTAGCCTCGCTAAGTAGTCGAGTATAATGATCAGGATCAGCTCGATGGTCTCCCAGATCCAACAGGCGACGTTCCACAAGAGATGTACGAATTGATCGGAGACGCTGGACATTCGGTTGTTCATGGTCGGTCATTGCTGTTAAAGTTCGTACTTTATAGAAATTTCACGAATTGAAACTTGAAAGTAGTCGCGTCTGTCGTTCGAGATAACTACGAGAGAAATAGGTCCTTTTTGTGCGAAACAAAAAGCGACGGAGCTTATTGCGCTGTCTGAAATTGCCCGCATACCTCTTACGAGAAAAGGATAAAGGAGGGTGGGTTTATTTAACAATTTCCACGTATACTTTATTGATGCCAAGCTGTAATTATAATCAACGTATCGCACAATGATAACCCGTGTTAACTAGAATAAATGACGCGTGAAGTGCTGCTCGACAATAATGAGACTATAGCTTATCGAATAAACTGGCAGTATATTCACTATGTGGTATGCTTAATGCATCGTAAGCTTTAATAACAAAGGTTATCGTTAATATCCACTACACGCTGTTGTAATCTCTCAATGTCGCCGTCCGTCTCTCTTTCAGATTGTCCCATTTTCCAAACGCCGCCCGATCGCCCTCGCGCCGCGAAACGTGAACGGATCACGCGAGTCCCGCGAGAAACGGCAACACGAGGGCGATCAGCGGCACGAGATTCCTCGATGACGCGTTACACGCGTCCGCATCGCTGCAGGACTGCACGCATCCGCGCAAGTACCTACGAGGCGCACGTGAATACGTTAAAAATAATAATTAAGTTTCATTCCCGGTCGCTCTTCCGCGGCTCGCATCGGCGTCAGTTCGGCTTACTTGTTGTCAAAGTAGAAACCACCGCAGTGGGACATTCTGATGATCTCGGAGTCCGTCGTTAGGGTCCCGCTATCCAACGCGCAGCCCCTCACCATCAGGCTCTCGCCGTTCTCATCTAAACCGAGTCGAGTCGATTGAGATGCGATTCAATGTACTTGCTAGATTCTTATGATCAGTTTTTACCATCGACAGAGAGAATGGACTGACAATGAGCGTTAGGGTCTGAGCAGAATGGCTGTCTTGTACTCTTAAGATATAAGACAGTTATTGTGCGTTAGGGCCTGAGCAGAATGGCTGTCTTGTACTTTTAAGACATAAGACAGTTATTGTGCGTTACCTCAAGACAAAGGCTTAAAACGTAAGACATTGTCTTAAGGCTGTCTTAAGAGTATAAGACGGCCATGCTGTCCAGGCCCTTACGCGCGACGTGCGAGCACAAGCTCTGAAGCGAGAAAGAAACAGCAGGATGTCTGTCTCTCTGTAATGTAGGGCTGTCTTTTGACGGTCAACAAGACTCTACATTAGAGAGAGAGAGAAACAGATATATCCTATTGTGTTTCTCTCTCGCTTCAGAGCGTATGCTGGCACGTCGCGCGTAATGCTCAGTCCATTCTATATTTCGATGGTTTTTACATATAAAAAATAGTGCATCGTAATTAAATTTACCGTATATGCCGGCAATCTTGAGACAAGCGGTCGCCGGGAAGAGGCCGTCCCGGCCTTTCCGACCCCCTAAGCAGGGCGACTCCAGGAGAGAGCTCCCGTTGTTATGAAACGGATCGTCGCAGGGTTTGTTGTCGCCGTTGATCGAGACACACTTGTAACAATCGATGGCACATCCTGCGGAACATGATGCAAATCGTGATTGATCCTCGGGCGACAAATAAAGATTTGGTGTCTCTCGCGTTTGGAACATCTTGGCTGCTTTCGCGAGAAGATCAAAATGATCCGGATTAAAATGACCCTGTGCTATGACTGGTCAAATCTGAAATTTCGTAGCATCACATTGAAATTTTATTCAATGAAATTCCAGATTTGACCAATATCATAGCACAGGGTCATTTTAATTCGGATCATTTTGATCTTCTCGCGAAAGCAGCTCTTGTTTACTAGGACGTCTTGCTCGAGACATAAAATTTCACTTGCCAATGATAAAAAGCAAGTGCTAAAGACTTTTATATCCACATTATTATTTAAAAGGAGCCTTTAGGTCGAGGGAAGATCTCCGTGCTCGACAAGGTGAAGCTCGAGCGGCACCAAAGCGAGCTATTTTTATATAAAACAGCACGAACTATACACGTCGCGGCGTTAACGACTTGTCCTCGAAAGCGATGTGTGCGATCCGGTTATCGATCCTACTCGCGCGAAATTCGCAAATAGCCCCTGCGCGTCCGATCGCGACTACCTGGGCGGGCACCTGCGTATCATTTACCTCTCTCGAAGAAGGCGAGGATGGTGAGCGCGAGGCAAACGACTCGGGGATTCCCTACGTTCATGCTTCGGCGACCCAGAGGCGTTCGTTCCCGGTGGTATCGCGCTTTCGTCGACGTCAGCCTCTACATCCCGGGTGGTCCCGCCGGGCGACCATCTCAGTCGCGGACCCAGCGTTCTCCGATCGTTCCCCGCCGATCGTTTACCATCGTCGTGGTCGTCAGAATAGAATGATCCCACGTAACACCGAGCGACTGGCCGGACGACTCTCCCGATCGCGCCCCGTCGACGCTATTAACGTACGCAGTGTTTTGACGGTGGGTTGCCAAGGCGATTCCACTGCTCGTCGTCGCGTAGACCTCGATCTCGCCGAAGATTTAAGAATGGACTTCTGATCGATGGACTTCAGTCGGGCACTGCCGTTGTCGCGGTTGATGACGCGGGGGGGGCCAATGGGTTCTTATCCGTTGTTGTTCGGCGACCGTGCTAGACTAAGTCGCGAGATCGGGTTCGACCTGGTCTTTATACGCTATCCCGAAAGCTCCTCGCATGGTGTTATGGCAACACTCCTACCTGGGGCATCTCGCATGGCAGTAATCCACCCTGGGACACACGCACGACACGCGAATAGTGGGCGCAGTTATGAATTTACGACGGATGATAGTGCGGGAAAAAATGCCAACGAGTATTCGTGATTCCTTGCTCATTTATTTCGTTACGTCTTCATATAGATTGTCCGCAGTGTGTTAAGCTAACTGGTGTCTTCAAGGTGCTAGGAGAAGCTAAGCACATGTGACTTCGTGTGTTTCCGCACTCCTTTCGGAAAGGCTGAGTTCAACAGCAAAATAGAATACATGAGAGAGAATGCACAGGAAATTTCTTAGGATCTCGAAGTTAAACTTAAACGATGATACAGAGGGAAGTCCTCTACTATGAGATAGGATTCTAACGAGATAGTAGGTTTCCAACGTCCAAATTCAATCACAAATGCTTTTTCGCAACGACTACACGATACATGAGAAAGAATGCACAGGAAATTTCTTAGGATCTCGAAGTTAAACGATGATACGGAGAAAAGTCCTCTATTATGAGATAGGATTCTAACGAGATAGTAGGTTTTCAACGTCCAAATTCAATCACAAATCCTTTTTCGCGACGATTACACGATCTAACAGTGAATTTTCCGCTAAACAGCTTTCGCTCCAAGGACAATAAATTCATGTTGGAACCAACAGACGATGCCCATTAATTTAGCAGAAACTCCCCTATCTTATATTAGGAGCCTCATAATAGGAGACTTTCCTCTGCATATAGAAATGATGCTAACTCAAGCATGACTCTGTTCGAAACAATCAGGGGATTATTCCGCAAGAGAAGAGACTGCGCAATGAAACGAACATGTAAAGTCAAAAATCTATTTTGAGTCACAAGTGTATATTCGGATAAATGATCTTTTGATTATTCGAAGAGAGACAACGATATATCTAAGGTCATTTCCAAATGAATCTAATTGTAACTAATTTAGTTAGAATTGGGATTAATTCGATCTTATTAATTTAATTAATCATGCACGACCTTTTAATCAACTCCAATGAATCTTGCGAAAAGTCAAATATCTAGAGTATTCTTCACTTTACGTAGGACAACTTTAGATGAAATAACGTAGCATATGTAAGAGTTTAACTCGATCAATTAGTGTTAGAAGAATATCAGGGTTGGGAAGTAACTCGTTACTTGTAACGAAGTTACAGTTACTTCTTTTTGGCAACTCTAACTTAACTTCGTTACTTTCTCTACATCTGTAACTGTAACTTAACGCAGTTCTTTCGATAACTAGTAACTAATTTAATAGTTACATTAATAGTTACTTTATATATTTTTTTTAAACCTCCACAGATCGCATTAGGCCTTGCATTTGCGCATAAACGCCTTTATCGACGCCTTACAATTCAAATGCAGATTTGATATTTTTATTTTCACTGCAAGAGAGTAACTGCAAAGTAATTGGTAACTTGTAACTGTAACTAGTTGCGTTTTTAGCGAAAAAACCGTAACTGTGACTAGATACTTTTATAAAGTAACTTTTCCAATCCTGAAGAATGTTATAAAAAGTAAATTTACGATAAGCTGAAATGATTTCGCTAATAATTGCATGCCAGTATACTTCAATTCTTATAAAATTATGCTAAAAATGATCGGTATTGGACGTCAAATGTAACTGAAATCCGCATAATATGATTACGGTATTAAAACTAATTAAAATAATGCAGTTGCGGATATATTTCGCTATTAAACATTCGAATTAAGCACATCTGATGTTCAATACGGGTACAATTAAAAGTGTTTCTTCGTAGGGCTTTCGTAAACATAGAGACACGCAGTAAATGTCGATAATATCGCAAATGAAATTGCAAAAAGCATGAGTACCCGCGCGCCAGGATATCCGCGGCGCCGCGGGACACGCGGCGGCCAGCATCCGGCGCGGCGCGCACCTGCATCGAGGAGGAATCAATTTCGGCCTTGCGGCAGCCGCACGCGGCGCGACGCGGCGCGCGGCGCGGCGCGGCGCGTTCAAAGCGGCGCGCTAATTGGCGCGCATGCGCGCCACCGTCGCCGGGCCAATCACCTTGCGCGGCCGCCGGCAGCGCATCGGTGCGAGTGCGGTCGTCCGCCTCGTCGCCTCGCCGCCGCGTAGCGACACCGCGGATGCCAGCGGATGTACCATGTACCGTGCCTGACAGCGATCCGTTGCCGCCGCCGCCGCCGCCGCCGCCGCCGCCGTCGCGAAAGATGTGTTCGTTTCACGCGCGCCCATGCAACCGCTTTTTCACGTGAACCCGCGTCCGCCCCCGAGCACCGCCGCCCTACGACCCGACGCAATTGTCTGCCGTCGTCGCCGCCGTCGCTGCCGCCGCCGTCGCCGCCGTCGCCGCCGCCGGGCTGACAACGACGACGATGGGCCAATCGTCGAGCAACACCGGGCACAGCGGTGAGTCACAATGTTTTCTCGTAACAGCCGATCGCGTGCTGCTCGCCGGCCCGAGCGCGCACAGTGCACCCCCTTTTTTTCTCGAACGCGCGCGCGCGCGCGAGCTTGTCATGTGTCAACCGTGACAACGATCGGCCGCTGATGATCCGTAGCCGACGTCCGGCGACGTCGCGACGACCACGGGGAATACCCGGTCCCCCTCGTAGCGCGAGATTTCTCTCGAGGAGGTTATGTTCGGATTTATCAGAAACGTAGTCTGGACTCCTCCACGCGTTGCTCAGCGCGAGATGGGTCCCTTTTGGAAATCTGTTTTCTCGCCGGCGGGAATATAATTTCGATTTGATAATACGGCATTAGATAACGAGCACTCGATAACGTTAGTCCCGAGCGCGCTGGAATCGCGAATCAGCGGATTTACTGCCGCTCCGCATTTTAAATCCTCATCGAAGCGTGTACGATCGTTGCGCGCGTTGCGTTTTTCGCGAGCGGCGAATTTAGGTCCTTAACTAATCGCTGTTGATCGATGCCATCGGTTGCTCGTTAGCGATTGCGAAAGCGCCTCGAAGATTAGCGCGCTTCGTACTTGTATCGAGCTACAAAATAGCTCGAGGCGATTTTTATTTGTTAAATCACCGCGAAATTCGGGAGACGTGGGTTTGGAAGATACGAGTATTTCCGTCTTCACCGGGAATGGTGATTGAAACGTAAATTAGTGGCGCCTAACGAAATCGGAGAACTTTGAACGAGAAACGTACAAACGATCGCTTTGCAAAGTGCTAGCACAGCCTACTTACGATCTCGAATCAATTTAATCCTTTTGTTCAACTATTTTCGTGGACAATTCTTGATACAAAATGAACTGTCGGCATTTGGTCGAAGTGCAAGTGATGTACTTCATTCTACTTTACATTACCAACGCATATGGTTTATTCCTCATTGTTCAGAATTCGTTATTTAGAATTCTTCAAGCGGGAGTTTGGACACCGTCTGCCATTTTTAGCTTAAGCATGTTACGCTTTTCAGAAACGTTCTAGTCGGTCTAGCGTCTGTACGGTCTATAAGTCAAAAAATGAATTTAATTTAACAATTAAAACAGTGAGCTTATTTGTATTGTTACTTGAAAAGGACCTGAAACCGAAACGTAACGAATTCAATAAAATTTGCCAGTTGGCTTGACAACAAGTTCGCTGTTTTAATATTTAATCATCACCGGCGACCATAAGTGGCATTTTGCCATCGTTAATTTAACAGTTTATACATATGCAAATGTTATTACTACACGGAAAAAAAAGATGCATCAACAGGATCAGTGTAACTGAAGTGAAATCGTTGAAACAACATCAGTATTAATAAATGAAATGCGTGAGATTGTTGTCTTAATAATCTGGATATTTAGTCTAATGCTAAAAATGAAAATCCATAGCAAACACAGTTGAGTGAAGTATTTATGTTTATGGCAGCCCGTGACGTTAACATTTAATTCAAGCAACTTCATTTTGTTTAATTCAATAGCATTTTTTCCGTGGTTTATAAGTAAATCTAACAAATAAAGGTAAAATCTAAATTTTCTCGTAGCCAGTCTGAAATAGATGACGAGTCAATAAAAATTGTCTAAATCTAAACCCGCTTGAAGAATTCTACCAGATGCCGTCTAGGAGCGACATCTGCTTCGGGATGCATCCTGCTCCGTTGGTAATAAGATGAACAGAATTTATCTCTCGTCTCTTAGTTTCTTTCGCTTTAGAATTATAAGGGCTGCTTTGTGCAAGGCCGTAACTGTTAAATTGTACCCAGGGTGTCCAGCGGTCAGGGAAATCGGGAAAACCGGGAATTGGCTGGGAATTTTAGAAATCTGGAAATGTCAGGGAAAAGTCCGGAAGTTTTACGATTTATCTGGATTTTTACATCGTTTCACATTGTTTTCTGAATAATTTAAAGTTTTTAGAAAATAAACTTTTCTTCGGCTCTCAGTACACGAATTTTCTGTTCTGCTAAACATCAATTTGTTTATAAGCGTGGTCGGTAATTTATATTTTCGTCGTCGTGTTATTTTATTTCAATGCGTTCAACTGAGATAAAAGTATAAAAAACGATGAATTACTAAACAGTACTATCTAAGTTACTATCTAGTAAGTTGCAAACAAAATGCAGTTGAGCAAAACGAAAGCATCATGTATGACTACGTACGATATCGCAAATGGTTTGAATGGTTTGTGATGGTATGTTCGTTCCTATTGCACAATGTATTACACATAGATGGTATAATTGCTTTAATTTAAATTTTTACCGTTTTAAATTCCGGACTTTTGTTTCCCGAGAAAAATATTTCCAGGACTTCGTCATTTAACATTTACTTGATTTACCTTACAGACGTACGCAAATTATGCATCTTGAAAAAAGTTACACTAAACGGCCAGGGAAAAATTAATTCCGGCTCCTGGAAGACCTGAGAATGTCGGGGAATTTTTTTCATTGAGTTTGCTGGACACCTCGATACCGGAATCTGTAAAAATTGTCCAATCGTTAAAAGTGAGGAGAATAGTTGACTGTAAATGTGTTTCATTTTTACCGATTCCGACATAAGTTAACGCGACAATGTCATTTGTAAAATAGTCGAGATAGAAGCAGTCGCGTCACTCTTTGCACACAATTAATCCGCATCGACGAAAAACGATTAACGAACCATCATTGACACCAGGAAATTGTAAAAACTGCGCGAACGCTTGTTATGCGCAATCGAATGTTCGTTTTAATTAAGGGAGGTACCTGGCTGAGGTAATATTTTTCGCAATAAGAGTTTTAATTTCAGTACGGGGGGGGGGGGGGTTATTGTAATGAATACTAAGTATAACATTTAAAATAATTTATCAAATCGTTCAGCGATTTTATAACACGTGATTCACTGACGATAACGCGGGGTCTACGATGCGAGTCGCAGAGTCGTAGTCGTAAGAATAATCGACCGCGTTCGTTTAATTACGTCAGACACATAAGAATTAACCAATCAGAGTCGATTATTCTTACAACTACGACTCTGCGACTCGCATTGTAGACCCCGCATAATGATTCCACCTAACGAAAAACCAGTGTTACACGTCCGGAA